CTTTATGTAAAGCCCTTTTGGATATAATTGGAATTAATATATGGGGGAAAATGTGGCTTTGATTTAGGGTTTATGAGGTGATAAGGTGCTTAAATCTCATCCCTTCATCCTAGTAGTTGGATGGAGATGAGTGGCTAGGATAATTAGCCTCTCATGTGCCATTGATGAAGTGCATCAAGGGTCATGATCAATTCATAACTTATACACTTCATATAAATACACTTCAAGCCCAATATTAAGTGGGGAGGCCAATGGATTCGAACCCTTATTCCCGGGTCACAACCGGACCTTTTGAGGATTTAATATTGTCCCAAGGATGAGTGCAAGAGTAGTTTTGTAATCACAAGGTGATCAATTCAAATGGGAAGCTTCAATCACTTTTTAAAACAACAAATAAAGACCAATAAGAGAGATTGGAATGATGGGATCAGTTTGTTAAAAGAATGAGACAGATCGAACTCAAAACGAGCCAAATATGAACAAACTACTCCATAGTGTCGACCGGTCTACCAATGTTTTTCTCAATGTAAAAAGAGGAACTGTAACTCAACAAATGAACTTTAAAATGGATATTAATTCTCTGAACTTGAAGATTAATAAAGGATATACTCAAAAAAATTTGGATGGAAAGGATCTATGAGAAACTAGACATGACTCATAAAACAATCAAGATATTGTACACACCATCAAGGTTAAGGGGCACAACTTATAACTCTAGCTTAATTATCATGCAAAACCAATGGAAAAAAGAAGTTAAATTTCTGCAAACATGAAGTTACAACAAGTTTAGATCATGAAGAAGTGAAGCAATCAAGGAGAAACTCACAAATAGATGATACCTTGATGGTGACATATGATGGATTTGACTTTGTAGAAGGAAGGGGCATCATTAAAGATCATTTTGTGATCAAGAACATGAACCAAAAGGGGCTGAACGTGGAGCTCAAGTTTTGATCTCTTTTCTCTCTTTTTGATTCATGAAAAGTGTTTTCTTAGGATTTGAATTTGGGCTTTAAGTGTATTTATATGAAGTGTATAAGTTATGAATTGATCATGACCTTTGATGCACTTCATCAATGGCGTATGAGAGGCTAATTATCCTAGTCACTCATTCCCATCCAACCACTAGGATGAAGGGATGGGATTTAAACACCTTATTACCTCATAAACCCTAAATCAAAGCCACATTACCCTTTTATCCTTGTCCCCATATATTAATTCCTAGGGCAATGATTTCATGCAATAGTTGTATAGTAATATGATGCAATAACCTTCAAAAATCATGTTATAACCATTTGTTTAACCCAAAATTTGAAATATACACTCTTTTCATCTAATGAACAATCACAAAAAAGAAAAATTTGAAAACACAACCTAGCGAGTATTTTTTTAGCCCAATTAACATAGGCTGTTCATTTTGGTGAGAAGCTTAGATCTAGGCTTTAGAAGGATTTTTTTCATTTCCAATTTTTTTGGATGGTTTTATTATCAGTAGATGAACAATGTTAAAAAAAAAAAAAAATGATTGAGTTTATAAAGGCTAAGATCTTGAAATTCACCAAATGAATGAACTAGATTCATTTTTGAAGCGTACTCATTTTGACCATATCTAGGGTTCAAATTAAACTACTTTTTGTTTGGGATTGATTACTGAGTTGAAGAGTGTGTGTGCAAAATTTTGGGTCATACAAATACTACAAACATGGTTTTCTAGAAGTGTCGTTGCATTATACTATGAGACAACCGTTGCATGAAATCACTGCCCTAATTCCAATCATATCCAAAAGGGCTTTACTAAAAAGGGCTTATGACACCACCAATAGAATTAGCTCAACCTACACCCTTCACATGCACCTTACACTCTTCACATGGGTCACAACAATGGGGCACATCCACATGAAATGTTCACATGGCATATGTCCCATGTGGATAATAATATTTTAAAACATTATTTTATTTTAAAATTGCGTTGGTTTTACACAAGCCAAGCATGTCACATGTGTGATATTTAATTATGTGACTAAAATCCAACTTTAAGTTATAACAACATAACATAAGGTTTGAAATAAAAGAAAAAATGAAGGTAAGTGACCAAGTGCCATAGGGTCTTCCATGCATGGGAATCTTCTCCCAAACAACGGGGGGGCAACGTGAGGGGTCCATGGTGCCACGTGGCCACCCTATGGCCACTCGGGTGCCATGTGGCATCCACATGGATGTCCTCACATAAGCTCGAACAATTTCGAAAATCACATTTTTGGTGATTTAAAAAATCCAAAAAAAATCTCCAAAAATTCCTATAAATATTTAAATCATATTTAAACATCTTTACATTATTTCTCACTAATATAAAATCAGACAAAAGGTATGTGAGATCTCGAGGCTTTGATTCTAGGTATCGAAGTAACTCCATTGGGCTAGTCTCAAATGATGTTCCACTATGTCTCATGTTGACCTAATGCACCTATGCTCCATAGTCTATGGTAGGGACGCATAATTGGACACATCAAAGTCATTGAGGCAGAGCTTCCCATCATCAGGTTCTCGATAGATTACAAGAGCACCCCTGTGGGACATATTCCTACTTAAATATAGGGGTCCTCTCAAAGCATATGTATATTGGCCCTTCTAAGTCAGATAAAACTTAAGAGAAGTGGCTTCCCTTTCGAATGAAAGTGCATATACCATGGAATGGTCTCGTGTCAGGTTACGAACTCATGTCCCATGAGTCTTGACTATCCTATACATGGCCAACTCTCCACAAACACTCGGGTTCTATGCTACTCAATTGGATTCTCCAAGCCCTGGCTAATCACAACTCATCATAAGGCATTCTAATTAAAATTTCTGAATAGGAGGTGACCCTCACACCTCCTTAAGAAATTGATTTTTCAAAACGTAAACTCTCAGTGCCTCATGTACTCGGGGTAAGAGAATATGGACCCTAGTTCGCAAAGTACCTAGATTCTATCTCTCACTCACTCCCACTAAGCGAAAGACTCTTGACATTACAGCCTTGAAAGGCCATATCGCCAACAATATATGCCTCTCCACATGATATCAGAGGAGTTCTGATGTGGTGTGAGAAGTCTCTTTGACTCGGTCGTCAATCAAGGATAAAGCGTCTGACGGACAAAGCATAAGGAAAATCTCACCATATGATATCACAATGAGGTGTGTCCTTATAAGTATTCCATTAGGCCTCATATGCTTCTAAGTCTAAGAATTATACAAATTGGGTATCATTTGGAGTTTGCTTAGCCCCAGGATCCATATTCATTAGTGGTCATGATATACCTTGACCGACGACCCCAAACTTTATGTTTGGGAGTAATCCAAAACTTGCAGGGATTCATATTTGAGGCATTATATCCCTCACCTTGAAGTTTCACATCACTCGGAGATGGTTTGACCCCTCATCTGTATCCATCGGCAGTCAAAAGCTTTATGCGAGTCTGTTAAAGGCTAGGATGACCCCCGGTCCCGAAAATTGATATTTCTCTCTATCCACAAGGAATTTTCTCATAGGTTCAGGACCATTGGATTCCTAACTCAATGCTCTATTATCCTTAAATGGTACAGCATTAAATTGATCCCTGAGGTGGAAGCGGTTGATCCCACAATCCCCTGATTTTGCTGATGTAATTTCCAGCAGAGAAGGGTCAAATTCAATAGATCATATCTCTCATATGTGATCTATTTGAAGTGAGACTTGGACCATTGTGTTTGTCTCTGAGTCCTCTATAATCTCTCAAAATTTCATTATCAAAGGGTGTGTCATCTGGAAGCGGTGAAGGAAATACGAGGATATGGCAAAATTGTATTACGACAGCTTGATCGACGATGGATAAGAAACAACAACATCCTTTAATTTTCTTACGCGGTGTCTTGCTGAATCTGGGAGCTACGAGTTCAAATTCGAACATCAGATGAATAGATTGACTAGATATATGAGTATCACCAGAATCACCTGTGAGTGCATTCAAATTGAAACGAAGCTACATTGAGATTCGATCATGAAAGATAAAGGCGTATGATCAACAAATCTATAGACGTGACGAGTTTTTATAATTATCAACTCGTGAATGATTATGTAAACCTCGTTTCTTGATGAGGAAAGGGGTTGGTTGGTTGGTTCAGTCTGAGAGAGATTGAGATATATGCATTACTCTGCATAGCCTTTGTGCGTGCAAGAGAGAAAAGAAGTTGATTGTATTCACTGTGAGTTAAGGAGCAGCCTAGCCTACTGATATTGATGCTTTCCAAACTACAGTGTAAGGATTTGGTTGAGAGAGAGAAGCTATTGAACTTAGACTCATTTGAGGCTTGATATCGAAGAAAAAACAAATCACACGGACAATACTCTTGCGTTCAGTTCAGGTATTTGGGCTCGAGTTGCCCATGGTATTGATTTATTTTCGTGCGTTTGTATATTTTCCTTTCTTAGGATTGTATATATAGGCTTCAAGCCTCGAATCAAGGGTATTTGGCTTAGCTTTTAGGCTGATGTAAATTGTAATGACGGTTTAAGCCTCTGGAACTCTTCCGTACCCCGTATGATATGTAAAAACCTGTGTTTCTATGATATAAAATACATAGGCGAATTTGGCCCCGAATGTGTTTGCCCTCAGGTTGTTTCATTTGGAATGCGGCACATTTTTAAAGCGTCCAGTATCTAAACCAAGATAAATAGAAAAATGTGCAGTAGTTTCTACAAAGTTTCCACTATAGTCTGATAGATTATGATAGACCTTAATCTGAAAGGGCATCTCCCTTTGGTTCCTGCACGATGATGGTTGAGGTTAACAATCCTAGGCCCCTCGGCATATGTGCTTAGGCACCATTGGTCCTCACTGCCCATCTTTGCCTATGGATGGCCTGTTGGAGTACTATTTTGATCTTGTGGTAATGCTGTTCTATTTCTAAATAGTGGACAAGTCATATTTCCTGTTTCTAACTGTATATCTTTTATTTTATTTTTTGGTTCATTTTTGTTTCAGGAGATCAAAGTGGACGAATATATCACACACATTGTGCCACTTGGGGAGATTAATAAAGCTTTCAATCTGATGCATGAGGGGAGCTGTCTCCGATGTGTCATAGACCTGCATGCTTGAGGTGCACGTTGTGTTCTTTGTATGGATGTGCATGACAGGACAGTGTAGGATTTGTGATGTTATTATAAGCAGCTAGCATGCTTTGAATTGCTCAAATCCTTGGCATCATTGCAGTGGTAGTGTAATTCTATTGGTAATAATAACTTCCAAAAAACAGTATAATTCAGTGGCTTATACACCTAAAGACTTGAGAAAAGTGGTTTGCAGAATGTCGAAAAGGAACCTTTAAGATATTCCTTCATGTTTTTTAGCAAGGCTTAGAAGTATGATCTTTAAGTATTCTAATGGTAAGTGGCCTTGGTTGTCTCTTAGGAGACATCTGATACTTTCAGTGCACAGAAAAGAATAAAAATTTTTTTAAAAAATAGTAACTGCCCTTGGTTGTTATATTTATGAATGCTGAGAAACACCCTTAGGATGAACTTTTTAGTTCATACATGGTTCCAAGTGTCATGAAAGTGGTGGACACTAAATCTAAATGTCTGTGGATGGAGATGGAGCTTCGACAGGGAAACATATTCTTCAGTTAAGTGCAAAACTAAAGGTCCCAACATCAAATTTTTAGCGTATCAAGCCATTGCTGCACACAGGTTGCAGTACATTTAGCATAACTTTAAGGGAATGTATTTCAGCGCACTTGTGTATTTCAGGATACTGAAGATGCACTTTATGGTGAGATGGAAGAGGGGAGAAGTAAATATCTGTCTCCATGATCCGTGCTTCGAACCTCGTGTTACATATTGTTTGGGCAGTGCAAGAAGAATATGGACGATAACATCAAGAACTTTCTGCACTCTCTACCCGATTGCTATTTTTCCAAGTTTCAAACAACCCCAATCTGGATTGAACCAGCTGACTTGGATCAGGAATTGTCGAGGGCAAACCAGTCCCCACTAAATACTGGGAACTGCAGTTCCCCCCATGTGACTGTTGGTCCCTGACAGGTCAGAACCGGCCCACTATTTTTTATTTTTCAGTTTTTTTAACCTTTTAATGATTAGTTCAGTAGATTGGATTGTCGAACCGGATAAAAAATTTGGATGGGCAACCTGGATCACCAGTCTGTTTTTTAAAACCTTTCTTCTGTTTCTTTTTTCCATGTGTAAAAATATATGGAAAAGAAGTTTGAAGAGGTGTTAGAGAAGGATAGTTTATTTCTTTATTTCCTTAGTTATTAATGAAATGATTTTAGTTATATTTCCTGGGCTGGTAGTGAATAGAGGAAGCATGAATAGAGAAGTTCTAGAGGAATAGGAGAAGATGAAAATTTAAGCCGTATAAGAATTGGCATATGTTCTCGAATGGGAGTTCTATTAGACTAGAATGTTAACCGAAATAGAAAGTTTATGCAGGGTAGGACTCTCTCACACACACATCATACCTACCTAACTTTTGAGGGGTGTGGTTTAGCTAAAATTGATGAACTTGTTAGTTGAAGATGTTGGAAAATATTTTATGAAATAAAAAAAACTAAAAATAATAGTTTAATACTATGAATTATAGTACATAAGATTACGCAAGTTTGATTAGTCAGACTAATAGATCAAAACTAGCCCATCCAACAACCCAAATAGGCAAAATATTAATTTTGACTAATGGTTTAAAAAACGGATCGGTGCTTCGGATCGGGCACTTTAAAAACCCATTTGAATCGGTGAATCGGTGATCCGGATCGGGAATTGTTGACTCGGTTGGATTAAGCTTTAAAAAAATCTAAAAAAAATATGAAAATTCATTATAAATGTTGTCTTTTAGGAATCCAAATAGAAATGATGGTACTATATTGTTAATTTTCATTTTTTTCATCAATTTGTGAATATTGAGACATTATGTCCCTGTATAAACTTATGTTAACTTTTAAATTTACATCACACAAGAAAAATCATAGAATTATCAGTGATAAAGTATATCAATCATACATACACTACAATAAAGAGCAGACTAAATTGATGAAAAAATTGCCACTAAAATCTCGAATTGGCGGAAAACCCTAATTTACTAAAAGACCCAAATTATTACAACCTGATTATAATCCAAAATTATTACAACCTAACTAACTATAATATTATATACTGAAATTAAAATTGTTGTTTAACATTTTATAATTATTTTATTATACAAACAATAACAAATCCAAAATATTTTATAATATCATCTAATTTAAATGTATTGTTGACAATTGTAAGAAAAATGGTATATTACATGATTTATAGTGCAAAAGTTAATAAATAAAATAAAACTTTGGTTATCAATATAGAAATTATTTGAAATTATCAATATAGAAATTATTAATATAGAAATTAATAGAAAGATAGAATTTCAAATGGAATAAATTTTTTTTTTTAACGACATTATTTTTTAAATAACACTTCACTTTTCAAAATTTTAATTTTTTTGATTCGAGAATAAATTTAGTAAAAAAGATTGATAATAGAAAGATAGGATTTCAAATGGTATAAATTTTTTTTTAACAACATTATTTTTTACGTATTTTTTATTTTTTTTACAATAAAAATAAAATAATGTATCACGCCCGAGTTGGGTTCAAACCTGAGGAGTCCTTCAACAAGGAAGCAATAACCATAAAGCCACGTTGTGGCAAGTGTAATAGCTTTACATATTAATAATAGTTATTCAATGTCTATTTTAATTTAATGCACCTTGTGGGAATTATCCCACATCCAAGAATGAGTATAAAAGTGTGTGATATAAATAGTTTCGTTGTGCTTTATTACATGCACGTGTGAAAACGTGGGGCTGCGATGCTGTGGGGTTGAAGGCTTGCCATGTGTGACTAAGTTTTGAGAACCGGTAAAAAGTGTTCCCGTTGAGGCTTGCCATGTGTGACCGGAAAACCGGTAAAAAGTGTTCCCGTTGAAGCTTGCCATGTGTGATTGAGAACCGGTAAAAATTGTTCCCGTGCAGCCTCATTTGAGGCTTGCCATGTGTGATTGAGAACCGGTAGAAAGTATTCCCGAGGCTTGCCATGTGTGACTGAGAATCGGTAAAAAGTGTTCCCGTTGAGGCTTGTCATGTGTGATTGAGAACCAGTAAAAAGTGTTCCTGTTGAGGCTTGTCATGTGTGATTGAGAACCAGTGAAAAGTGTTCCTGTGCCGACTCGAACTGAGTGGTTTTTAAAACCACTGATTTTGACTATTCAATTAAACCCAATTATAAATTTAGATCCAAAATGACCATGGCCTAATCGATTGTCCGTTTCTTTAGACCAGCTGGTTTGATTTAGCCTTGATAACTATGCTCTGGGCCACTCCTTATCTCTTCTAGGGGAGTAGAGAAGCTAGGTGAGAAGAGGTGCAATCGGGCCAATGATATCTCATATTGCCTTTAGCATAGGAAGGATGTCTTTCTAGTTTATGATTCTCAAAAAAAAAAGTCTTTCTAGTTTATGCCCTTCTTTGTCAACAATCTTGAAGAAAACAATCAAAATGAACTCAGACAAAAATGACAAACGAAAACCGAAAAAAGGCATAATATCCATTTTCACCCAAAAATAAAAACAAACCAGTTTCCTATCCATTTTCTTACCCAACAGTCGATGCCATACTCTAAACACATCCTATAGGTTGCATGAGAGCAATGAGAGGAACGTCAATATTATGTCTCGGGTAACCAACATGAAATGAATTATGAAAGCGAAACGTGTAGGATAGTTGAAGATTAAAAAATGAAATAAATTTTCCTACTTAAATTAGATCAGTAGAAATTTGATATATACAGTATACACCAGTGGCTTAAAAAGCGGATCGGTGACCCAGATCGAGCATCTCAAAAATCCATTCGGATCGGCAAATCGGTGATCCGGATCGGGAATCGGCTGAATAGCAGATTAAGCCTTAAAGAAATTCCGAAAAAATTATTAAAATTCATTATAAATGTTGTTTTTTAGTACTTCAATAAGAAATGAGGGTATTCCATTAAGAATTTTCATTTCTTTGCATGAATATGTAAATATTGATATGTTCTTTCCCTGCGTGAACTACTATTTACCATTTAATTTACATCACACAAAAGGATAAACATAGAATTATCATAGATTAAGTATATCATCATACATGAACTACATTAAAGCATACAATTCGTAACATACGATCTAAAAATAAAATGACAGACGACGTCGTTCTTCATCTTGGTCACGTTGGTGCCATTGATTGAATTCGCGTGACAATTCATTGACTCGATCTAAAAACGAATCATCCGAATTAGTGGGCACCTGACTATACCCAAATCTCTGAGTGTTAGTGTTTTGTTGTGGGCCTAATCCAAAAGACCTGAAGCTTGTCCATCCTTCATGCTTACCTACATTATCGTGCTCATCCCTACCCTCTTGTTGTTGGGACTCGATATGTGAATAATTTGGCTGGGATTAGGTGACCTCTGAATAATCATCTCTCTCATTTTCCCTTAGACCCCCTTTTCACTCTCCCTCATTTGGTGCAATACCATTGACATCTCCGACGAATTGTAGATATGTTGGCGGGCTGCTTCTTCTTTCATGCTGCTTATCAC